TTGTCTCCCAGTAAGCTCTGGATGCTCTCAGTGCTCTGGCCGCATGATTTGATACTTGTCTTCCATTTGTCTCCCACTTGTCTCCCAGTAAGCTCTAGATGCTCTGAGTGCTCTGGCCGCATGGTTTCAGACTTGTCTCCCACTTGTCTCCCAGTAAGCTCTGGATGCTCTATAGTGCTCTGGCCGCATGATTTCACACTTGTCTGCCATTTGCCTCCCATTTGTTTCCCACTTGTCTCCCAGTAAGCTCTGGATGCTCTGAGTGCTCTGGCCGCATGATTTCACACTTGTCTCCCACTTGTCTCCCAGTAAGCTCTGGATGCTCTGAGTGCTCTGGCCGCATGATTTCACACTTGTCTCCCACATGTCTCGTCTTGGCTCCCAGTAAGCTCACTTGTCTTCCACTTGTTTCCCATGGCCTGTCTGGATGCTTTGTATCCGGGCTTGGCTGGATGCTGGGCCGATTAATTTTTTGATGCGCACAAGGTCGTTGCTCTGTTGTATTTCTGGTGTTTCGAGTTTGAAAGCTGCATTGGCTGCATCGAAATACACTATTTTCACATATTTTCACCACAAGCGTTGCATTGCTCGATTTGCTGTTTAGGTTGGCAGCTACTTTCGTGCGGATGATCAACGAAGCAATCACACACTCTTACGTCAAGTGTTGCGACCTATGGCAAACACAGGTCAGGGCAACATATGTCACAACCTGGATCCATGAATTTCATGTTTTAGCCCTTGTTCGGCGTCCCATTGTAAAGTCAATGAAAAACAGAACTATAATGTTTTCCCTTTGAATCTTGGTGGACTATAGTTTTCTTCCTCTAGGAAATACTGCTGGCCATATTGTTCGGAGATCTCATTTTTGAACATTGCTCTGTTTGGGGTCTACGCTGGTATAATTTGTTTTTTGTTGTTTTTTTTGTGTGGTTCTCGTGGCTCATCACCAGAGCTTGAAACTTTTGAAACCGAGGTCCTGGCTGCTTTTTCATTGGTTTCCACGGAACCAAACGGCCCGGCGGCCAGGGGGGCAACACGTGGCTTTTCATAAAAAATACTCTTCGGGTAAAGTCATCGAGACCTGCAGTTGAAGGAATTGCTCTGAAACCCTTGTCTCTCCCGATGTTTGAGCTTCTCAGGAGCAAGCACAAGCTAAAAGCTCAATCAACATTACAATACTTTGTCTTGAGCAAAACGCAAAGCGCCGATTTCAAGGTGCATGAGGTTGGTCCCAAGCACTCTTCGTACCAAAGTCCAATTGACATGCCCTTCATCGACCCTTCAAGTACCTATGGAATTGAAGCACTGCATGTAGCCGGACTTCAAATTGCTTGCTTCTGGAAGGGAGCCCGACTGTTGATGCTGCATGGTACTTTGATGTCTGATGTCCTATAGAGTTTTACCGTATAAACGTTATACCAGTTCCACTGCTCCAATTCTGACGCTTTGGTGTTTTGCCAATGTTTACATTCCCTGCAGCCTGCAGTCTTGGCAGTCTCCCATCCACAACGGAGAAAAACTCGTCTAAGTGTCTTGCTTCGATGCCCGTATCATCCCGTATCTAAGCGTGTTGGGCCCAGCTGAACGAAGATTCCTACGGGGTGGTTATTCACAGAAGCACTGCTTTGAGAACACTTATGAAGCCTCCCAAAGCCCAATTGCCAATAGCTGTTCCGACAGCGGTGGACGGTCTGGAGCCTGTGCTCTATATATATATATATACATTGGCTGGCTGCTGCTGTCTCGTACATTTTCAACATCCAGGGCTAGTAGCTTGCAGTGACATTGCATCGAATGTGACAATGACACCTGCTTTTTTTGATACTGAAGAATTGCTAGTATTTTAAAAAAAGGGGAAACCTCTGCAGTCAGGCTGGATGGGGTTGGTGGCGTGTGGGCTGGTCATGGTCTGAATGGCGCTGGCCTCAGAAATTGGGTGCAGTGAAGTGGTGACTACCAAGACATCAAAAAGTAAACAATGGACACACAAAAAAGAAGATGACAAAGGGAAGCCAAGGGCTCCCTTACTGTAAATGTTTCTTCCCTTTTTCATCTCGTTATTCTTGTTGTTCCAGTATTAGAAAGATAATCTGAGCCGTGTACCCATTTGTATCCATTTGTATTCCACATGTTTATGGAACTTGCGCAGGTGGAAGGTTGTGGAGCGTTTGCTCGGGAAAGCACAGAGCTTCCCTCAATCCGCTCTTGGAATGCTTAAAGACGCGATGATCCGAATGCAGGCGTGCAGTTCGAACAGCTGGTTGTAGCGCCAAAGCCAATCTTAAGAAGAAACATAATATCCAGTTCTTGCTTATCCTTTAGCTCTCCTTTGTGGACATTCTGATTCAGGAGCAAAAGGGCTGCAAGCGCATTTTCCTCAAAGCGTTCCATCCTCAGCTGTTTTGCTTTACTCCAGTTTGTGGAACCTACCTCTAAAGGCCTAATCAATATTAAGCCAAGCAATCAGCTCTGTGAGATAAGATTGGTGTCTTGAGGAGATAGGCAACCGAGGCATAAAACAAAACCGACAATCTCCCAGACATGGCATAAAACTTGTCAACATCTATATAGTTTGAAGATGCCATTTTCGCTGGATAATAAACCAGCGACATAAAAGAGATGGGGCAGGGATGCAGAGAGATTGCACTGTAGATATTTTTTTGGCTTTTGGTCTTTTGGTAGTTTCGAGGACAGCTTTGCCGTGACAAGCCCGTTTGGCACTGCAACTGGGTTGGCCTTCATTGCTTCACACATCACTGAGTCCGTGGGATGATCACCGCCGTCAGAATGTGATTGGAAAGCTGCTGCCTTGGAAATGTCGCCACAGGATTTTGATCGTATATCGCTGTGGCCTTTAAGTGGAGCAACTACATAGAGTATTTTCTTGCAACGTTGGGACCTGGTCAATCAAACATGTGTACTGCCCAGGTTCTCTGCTTTGATGCCAGAGCTAGACTCGGAAGAGAAGGCCAGGCAAAGAAGACCTGGATGTTTTTTCATCATTCTTTTTCAACATGGATTTTCTGATGATACTTGTCAACTAGCTTTCAATAAGACATCCAGATATCCAAGACAGTGCAGTCAACCAAAACGAGGCGCAAGTGTGTTCTCATGAATTGCTGACAATTCCTTGAGAATTTGGACTAGAAAAACCGCTTGCGGGAAGAAGTAAGAGACATCAAATGATAGGTTCCAGAGAGGACTACTCGGCAGCGTACATGTCTACCACGTTTACGATTGGAAGATTTGCCAATAAAGCAGTGAAGCAATATTCTTGGGATCAACATATTGACGAGATCACTCAAGCGGAAGCATTGCTGGGTGACGGTATTCGATCATGTCAACCGATTCCTCCAGGTTTTGCTCCTTTACAATGCCACCAAATGCCACATAGGTAGATCCACCAATGCTTTGCAATTCCAAGTTGCAATCTAGTCATTGGCCACAATTTCTTGGCAGGTGAAGGTTAAGCTGGCTCCACTAAGACTGTGGAGCACATGAGCTGTGTGCTGACTCATCGCCAGAGATGAAAAGTGGTGCAGCAGCACAATTTGACTACGAGTGCTAGTTGAACGAAAAAGCATTTCGCTTTGAAAGATGGTGCTCTCTTTGCAAAACCGGGTATAATTGAAGCGACTCAGAACAAGCAGAGGCTTAGCTTTGCAGCTCAAGTCTGCTTGGCAAAACTGGGCTGTGCAAGAATGTTAGCCAGCCCCAAATAGTGCGGACATTTGTCTGTTCAGTTTCCTCAACCCAACCATCAAGCCGTTCATTTGCCTCCAAGACTGGATGTAGTTCATCCAGTCTGGCCTGCTTTCCGTTAGAAACCAAGGGATGGCGGCATTCTTGATGCAACATATGTTTCCCAATGTCTTGAAGTGTCTGGCAATGAGTAATAATAATAACTATATTAATATATATATATATATCGCGCTGTCGTTGCCACGTTGCCAACTCTGTTTCATGATGTTTCAATGTGTTCAGATCCTTGGCTGGTCCTGAGCATTGTGCTTCTCTTCTGTATCAAATGTGTCGCACTCCCAAATCCTTTTTGGAGCCTGAAGAAGCCTCTAGAATTCATCTTGTACAGTGCAAGTGAGTCTGATTTGCAATTGCTAATGGGCATTTTTGCAATCTTTTGAATCGATGTGACTTGACTAGCTTTTTCCTTGAGTTGTTCCAATGTGTCTGGACCGTGGCACCGCATGAAGGACACAAGCTTGACGGTCGTATCTGGTGGCCGCAACCCGATCCGTGAGTATGTCAAGGCTATGCTGGACGAGGCTGGGAGTTGATGTTGGTTGCCACTGTGCTTTTGGGCTTCCAAAGTTTCATAAGTTTTCCCTGTTTTTGAAGGCAGCTTCTCGGGAGAAATACTGCGTCACAACCTCAACTGAAACATTGTAAAAGACACAAGCAGTGCTCGTGCAAAGTAGTGGAGATGCTCGTCCCACGACCAAGCTGCCGCTCGCTTTTGGCGGATTCCTGGAATGTGTCTCAGGTCCTGCTCCGAGCACGCCTCAAGGCCATCTCAAAGGCAATCTCAGTTGCCGAGGCAGGCTTTGAGGATCGAAACCACTGTAGCAAGAAGCTACTAGTAGCAAGGGTATTGCTATTGGTAGCAAGAAGCTACAAGTATGAAATTGGCCAAGCAGGAAGTTGGATCTCAATAGTTGAGATTGGCTGGAATGGATGCAATGAGAACAGACGAGAGGTTGTTACTATAGCTGCTTCAATGCTTGTGGTCGCTTGCGGTACCCCCATGAATGATGTACAGTACAATGTTTCTTAAAAGTCCGGTCTGATGGGAAGCCATCATTAGATCACTGAATGACATTCATCGATGTAATACCTGCCACTCAGGTGGCTGCTCGCTGTGCGACAGAGCAAGGTCTTGCCTGCTCGTCCCAGGCCACCACTCGGAATGGCTTAAAACTTTGGAAGACAGATCCCAATTGATTGTACAGTTACACATGATTGGTTTCCACATGTGATTGAATCTTCAATCTTGCGAGGTGGAGCTACTTGGAATGCGAGAGGACTTTAGCTAACAAACGCACAGAAGCACAAAGGCACACTCTGCAGGAACAGTTGCTGATCCTTTGTCACTGGTGATGCGACACCCTGAATAGCTGAACAATTGCTTCCAGGCAACAAGCACAACTTTACGCAGGTCTCGAGAACAAACTGTACTGGCTTGCCTTTTGGACCTTTTGGGTTAAGATTATGGAGTTACCATTAGTTACCTTTGCAAAGGTGCACGGTAAATCAATACAGTAAGGTGGTACAAATGCCGAGGAGACAACCCCGCTGAGTAAAGCGGTAAAACGGTGAATTGGTATTCTTGTTCATCCCTCACTACATCTTCCCGTGTAGTGCGATAGGTGACAACACACCAAAGCTTCAGCTTTCCCTGGTGTGCGATAGTATCTTCCAGCCAAAGTGTGCGAATCCGAAAGTGTGTGAAGGCTTCTTTTTTGCAAAACAGTAAAACGCTAAAGCCGTAAACCGGTCAGGCACATTTACCAATTTACCAGTTGCGCAATTTGCCGGAAAAAGCACTGACTAAGCGATTCTAGTTCCGATTTACCAACTTTAGTCAATGTACATTGAGATAAATTGATTTACCTTTGCCGAGAAGCTTTACCTTTGCTGAGAAGTGTTAGGCTTCACGCGCGGAGAGCTGGCTTAGAGAACGAACATATTGACAAGTTTTTGATGGCCATGATTGCTACACACTCTCTCGGGAGTCCGACAAGACTGGCAGATGACCCCGACAAGTCTTACGTGCAGCACACATGACTCCAGGAGGGGCCCAACCGGCGACAGGACATCCAGGATTGGCTTGTTGGCTTTGATGCATGACCATTGATAATGGCCACTAATGGCCACTAAGTGATTGTGTCACTTTTGCTACACTTTGCTTCACCTTGACTCGCACAGATGGAGATCCGATTGACCTTCCAGAAAACTGACGAAGCAAAGCCATGAAGGGCTGTGTGGGACGGAGGACACTCCCGTCCTTTGTTGTCCCACAAGTGTTTGAAGATGCTATTTTTATCTGAACAGCGCCAATCCCTCAATTCTGGCTAAAGGCCGGAAATTCCAAACCTGGGAGCCGTAGCATTTCTTTCTAGGTTGCAGACTGGACAGATGTGGCTGAATCCTTTGCGTCTTGAATCTTGTGCATCACGTGCGCAATCATCTCAAAGGAGAACAGTCTCAGTGTGACTGAGTTGTCCAGCGAACATCTCAAAGATGCTGACTGCGGTGACCGTGGTCCTGTTGACTGCCAAAGCTTCAGTCAGTGAGTTGCATTCACTGTGCACCAAATCCGCAGCAGCCCGAACAGACCATGTGCTGGTCCAAGAGATCCTTGGACTTTCAAATCTTGCCATTTGAAGGGCTTTCCGTTTGATTCTGCTGCTGCTGCTGCTGCTATCAGTAGATTGGACAAGGAAACACGGCTTTGCGTGCTGAAGGGTTTGCACGCAGGTCAAGACCGACTTCCACCGCCTGCGTGCTGACCACGCAGACAGCCGAAAGGCAGTCTTGATCCTCAACGAGGCTGTTGCGGTCGCTTCTTTGGCTGGTCTAGTGGCACATATTCAGACATTTATTATACAACACATTGTGGCAGTGTGACTGGACTCAAAGCGTTGTGATTGATGATCGCTGAAGTTGGCTGAAGCTCAAAGCTCAAGAGAAAGGAGAGCAATCGGCCAAGCAGATACAGGGTTAACGTTATGTGAGGTATTGACAATGATGAAAGCAATCGGAACAGGCAATCTTGTTTGTGTTGCAACTTAAAAAGGATGGACCTCGTGTTGCTACTTCAAGTAGGTATATAATATATACGATAAAGTACTGTATGCATAGCATCTAAAGCTTATCCAAATCGGGTTTGACCTTTTAGATGCCATGGTACAGTACAAGGCCGGAGAAGCTCATATCTTTTGTGACACAAAACAATACGTTTTGGCAAATGCAACCCGAGAGGCAACGAGTTGACACTTTTAGCGCTCCCAGTCCGATTCGCAGTTCCAGTCAGTCTATCTACAATAAGGTCTATCTACAGTAAAGATTTATTTCTCAAGCCGAGGTGAGTGCTGCTGCAAGCGCTGCCAAATCAGATCAGGCACCACAGCTGCAGTCTCACCTTACTTGGCTCTTTGGGCTCAGGAAATGCAGGACCTTAATGATGCAAGATAGTCATGGCTGGATCTTTTGTAGAGCTCTGTGTCTCTCCCTTTCTCAGAGTGGTCCTGAGTGGGGAAGCGGGAGCGGGGTTTTAAGTACATCATCGAGCCTGCTCACACAATTCACCACCTGTTCACCACCTGTTCACCCCGTCGAATAATGCTTGTGTCTTTTCAAGGTGTCCGTGTTGCTAAAGGAGAGTCAAAAGTGAGCAGAATCCAGCACAGCTTCACATCCATAGAAATCAGTCATGGCACAATTGCTATATCCAACCCCGAAGACAAACTGAAACCAAGAAAGAGCTGAATCAAACTTCGCAGAGTGCATTTTGTGCAGTTGTCGCATGTTGTTGCATGTTGTTGCATTTCCCTCTTGCTTGCTGAGTGCTACCCGCCCGCCATGGCGGCTGGGGAGCAGCTTGCGCGGGTGGCCAAAAGTCTAGAGATGCTGGAAGAGCAGCTGAAGCCTGATTTGTTTGGACGTTGGCAGTTGACCTGTGTTCAGTTTGTACTTGCAACACTGACACACTCTAATTTGAAGGACATGAAATGACATGAACCTCTGAGTTGGCTATTGAGATATTGCACCCCATTCAGGTACAGGCGTTGTGTGGTCTACTCTCTGAGCTTCTTAGCAAAAAGACAACATCTGCAAGTGAAGATAAACCACTTGATCTCTCCATCCATTTGCTTACTTAAGCTTCCTCACCGCCTACCACCCCGGCCCATCTTAAAGAATGGCACAAATGGCCTGCGACTCTTTGAGGAATTGCAGCGACTCTTCTCCTGTTGGATATCCTTCCCATGTTGGCTATCGCAAGTTGAATATGTGTTGCTTCGCTGCTGCCCTTGGGTTGTTTGAGCTTTGTCGATACCTGTGTACTGTATACTCGCGTTACCAAGACTGCACCTTTACAGATGAATTTGCACCAAAAATATGTCAAATAATGCCAAAGTGCTAGCCAGGCCAAGCATTTCAGTCATTTGTTTATATAACTCGATCCTTTGGTGGGACTGTCCGTTGATAGTGGTAGCAAACATGCCCCTGCAAAAGGACATCTTTCTGTCGTGAGTCCAAAGCTACCATGTAAGGAAGAGCTTGGCAGACATGGCCAGCAGTTTGGAACCCGCCGAAGCCAAAGAAAGTACCCGTGAAGTCATCCACAGCCTGACAGCGCTGGAGCAAGATCTCGAGGCAGCCCGAGAAGGCCATCAGTTTTTGACTAATAGGACCTTTCTTGGTGAACCTCTTTCCTAAGAACCCTTGAACATTGAACTTTGCGACTATGCTCACTCTTGGGTGACCTTTGTGTTCCTAGGCTTTTCAACAACGTGCATAAACACCGACTGTTTTTCGGTGTTATGCTGGTTCTTTCTGGACCGCCAGGTGCTGGTGGGGCAGATCCTGAACAGTCTCAAAAGCTGAGGCATCAGGGTTCGGAAGAGGTTTTCTTATGCTTTTTGTCTCAAAAACTACCTTATTCTGCTTTATTACCTGCTACCTTGTCTCACATGTCTTCGTTTGTCTCATGAGGAAACGCATCACGGATGCAACCACCAAAGCCTCCCGTCTGCGGGCGACTGCTTCGAACAAGCACGCGCAGCTCATGGAGCCAGTCCGGACCGAGGTGGCACAGGCAATCTTATCTCGCCTGGCCAAGAAGAAGGAGGACGGAAAACGGAAAAAGGAGGAAATTGAAAAGAGATGAAAAGAGTGCGCTCATAGCCACTGATCCTTTTCTAAACATGGGACTCAATGGGCACACATGAAATCACATGGACACATTTTGGCTTTCAGGTTATGCATGAGTACAGAGTGATATTCAACACACGCGACATATGTTTCGTTACGTACCAGATCATCCAAGAAATGACGATCACATGCGATCACCAAGCCAGGATCAAGATGCTTTTGCAATGGCTGATGTCGATCAGGATGGCTTCGTCTCGCGGAGCGAGTTTCAGAACTTTGTGAACGACTGTCCGGGAAACTTCTCTAAAGATCAGCTTCACAAGCTCTTCGACTCTCAGAA